CCAGCCTGTTGATGAAACAAGCATATGGCTTCCAGCACCTGTCCCGAGGCCTTTCCTACTGCCATAATAGCTGTGGAAGTCAAAAATAAAAGAAACACACTACAGAGTAGGATTCTGGGCTAGATGAAAGACCTTTGTTTAAAGAGAAGAGTGGCTGTAACTTCTTTAACAGCTTAGATAGGTCTGCTCTCTCTAAAATCTCTTATCTACTTTCCCCCCCATCCTCCCTCAGGTTTTTATATTCTTCACCCCATAAAGATTCCAACAGCAACCAGTGTAAATAGCTGGCAGGTAGACTCAGCTAGGCTTTCACCTCCAAGCTACAGCACATGTCTCTCCTTTAAATTTAAATTTTGGAATTTTTTGCAAGCAGGCAAAGCTTCAGACCCACTCTGGATTAATTACAAGGATGGACACATCCAGCCTTTGCTGTGGTAGAGCAGACTTAGAAGTTGATGCAGTTGATGGGACTTGTAAACTGCTCCCTGGCAAATGGCAGGCTCCTCACTTTGTCATGGTCTCACAGAATGGTTTGGGCTGGCAGGGACCTTTTAAAGGTCTTCTAATCCAACCCCTCTGCCATGGCCATTTTTAACTAGATCAGGTTCTTCAAAGCCCCATCAAACCAGACCTTGAATACTTCCAGGGATGGAGCATCTGTCAATTCCCTGGCCAACCAGTTCCAATGTCTCACCACCCTCACCATAAAATGTTTCTTCCTTATATCCAGCCTAAACCCTACAGTCTTTCAGTTCTAAACTTGCCCCTTGTCCTCAGGCCCTGGTAAAGTCTTTCTCAGTCTTTCCTGTAAGCCTTCTTTATATATTGAAAAGAAAGACACATTAAGGTCTCCCCCCAGAACCTCATCATCTCCAGACTGAACAACCCCAGCTCTCTCAGCTTTTCCTCACTGGTGAGGTGCTCCAGCCCTCTGACCATTTTTGTGGCCCTTCTCTGGACCTGCTTCAGCATCCCTGCTGGAGCTCCTGTGCAGGCAACTAGCTTGTCTTACGTAAATGGAAGGTTATCCTGGTTTGTAATTAGTGAGGGGAAAAGTCAGTTTTATGTTTATGAGAGCACTGTTAATGAATACCCAGGTAATGGTCTGATTGACTGCAAAGCCAATCTGCCTTGGACCTGGAGTCTGATTGGTTACCCAAGGCCAGGATCGCTGAACCTGCAGGGCCTGTTTAGCCATGGTACCCTTGTTTACTGTCACAGGACAGGCTCTGTGTGTGTGTACACGTGCAGAGTGCTGTTCTGCACACTAACCACATGCAGAGGGAGGACGTCAACACCAACAGCAGAAAGCAGCTCCTTCGTGCTCAGTTGGCCAACGCGGTGCTAGACCGTCTCAGCATTTCTGCTTCTCAGCTGAGGCAAAGCCTCTGCTGCTTGGCTGTTGGCAAGCCTGGTGGTTGCTCTGCTTCCTGCCTTACCATATGGTGGCTTGTTTAAAAATAAGGCATTTACAAGGAGCAGAAATTGTAAAAGGTAGACTACCCAGAGCAGGATTTACAGTAAATGCTTGGAAGGAAGCTTGAAGAAGTGAAGAGGGACCCAACACTGGCAGCTGTACATTTCCCATGATAATGTCTTGCTGCTGCTCTGAGTAATCATCTTTGGGAACTACACAGAGAGAAGACAGAACCTTCCAGCTGCTCTTCCTCTGCCCTGGGGCTATTCCACCCCACAGACTCTGAACAGCAAACACAGACAGTACACCCACCACTCATTTCTCAGTGATGCTCATCCAGTATCCCCTGGCACCTGCAGTGGGAGGTGATGGAAGGTGGCAGATGGCAGGGACAGAGGCCCCAGGAAAAGGTGGCATGATGCCAACACCTGGGTGCTGTGTCCTCACATCAACCTCTTGCTCTGCTGAGCTTTTCCAGGCTCAGATGCTGGAGCTGTCAGGGCTTGTGGGCCATGACGTTCCTCGTATTCCCACTTGGAACAAAGCTGCAGATGCTTCTCCATTTGCAGTCACCTTGTTGCTCAGGTGGTCCCATTTTTTATGGCATATGCAGCATTTAAAAGGGTGTTGGGGGAAGGCAGGTGGCTGCTTGTGGCCAAGTGGTCCTGCTTCAAAACACATCAGTGTCATGGCCATGCAATGTTGGATATGGAAACGACAGAAAGGAACAAGGTAAGTCCTATTCTACTCTGTTGGAAGTAAATCATGGTCACTTAAGAAAGCCAGAAAAGTTCCTTGGAAAAGTTCCTTGTTAGTTTTCTTTATGAGCTGTTCAATTCCCAAGGGGCACTCCAATTCCCCTGAAGCAGCTGTTCTTAGATTTGTAGAAACCTCAACTCATCAGAATCAATTACATCAACTTTAATAAACTTCACAATAAAGACAGCCAATCAATTACCACTGTTTTCAGCTGCCATAGGGGTTCTGCAGCTGTTTTTATTTTAAAACAATCCACTACTAAACCAGAATATGCAACTGGAATGAAGCATATTAAATCAAGATGAATATTATGTGTGTAGAACAATCAATCTGTAACTTTACCAGGATGATGAACTACCCTGTTGTCCCAAGTACTGCTGAGCTCTGTACACAGCACAGACAATCCTCTCACAGCAGTGGTGAGGCTTGGGAGTTACTCTGCAGCCCAGGCTGCTGGGGAGCATGTGCCAAACACTTCCTTAGTAGCAGAGAAGTATTGTTTGCAACTCTGTAATTAGACTTCTTTTTTTTTTTGCCTTAAAAATGTTTATTTTCAGGATGTTAACTTTCTTGCTCTAGTTTTCAACTTGAATAAATCTTCATGATAATTATGCACTGTACATAGGGATTTCGATTGCTTTTCTTTAAGCAATATCAATTACAGTTTCAATACCTCTGGCTTCTATTTTTGTTGGGTTTTTTTAGTTATTTTATTTGCAAGTGTGAAGAAATTGCATTGCAAAGGATTCAAAGCTAAAGTTAATTTAAAAAATTGCATTATTACAAGAAATCAATGCTCAATATGAACTACTTTGTAGTGCAGTTTAGGGGGGAAGGAGGAGGGGGTAGGGAAAAAAACCCTTGCTGCAGCTGTGGTTTGTCTTGTGTAAAAGGGATGATCATTCAGATGCTTTTCTAGCTAAAACCATGAGAATTCAGGACATCTTAAGCTGAACTTCTGCAATGCCCTTAATTGTTCCAATCAAGACAGGAGTTTTGGGGTTTGGATTTTGTTTTTTTCTTAATCCTGGAAGTCTAGAATTTGTGACCTAAAAAACAAACACAAGCATTTTTCTGAGCCATAAAGAACAGTTAATTGGCCGCTCTAAAGTCAATACAGCCTCCTCTTTGCTTTTAGCCTAACTGCTTCAGCTACTAAAAAATGCTGGAGTGGATTGTCCTCAAGTGTTTCAGCAACTATCAAGACAAAAGTAATCCAGAGCAAGTTTAACAACCACAGACTTGCTTAAAGTTGCAAGAATCTGTTTAATGATTTCAGTGGTAACCCAGCTGGGCTGAAAAGCAGCCTGGCTGTCTATCCCCTGAGCACCTAACATTTTTGGCATTGCAGATAATTACAGTTTGAGATGAAGAGGATTTCAGGCAAACACTCTGTGTTATGAGTACAAACTAGCACCCACAAGTGTAAGTTCATCTCAGCATAAACCTTAGGTATTTCCCAGTTAATCCCCTTTGTAGATGCCTTATTTACTGCCAGAAGGAACTGTGGCTCAAAGTTGGGAGTTCATGTTCCCCTGAATGCTCAGGAAAGTTATACATCACAGAAAAGGTGGTGTATTGAGCAAGGAGCTGCCAGTACCAAACAGTACGAAATACTGTGGAAGAAATCAGCTTTTGTATTTAGAAAGAGTTATGCATCTACATATCAGCTTCTGTGTCTTAGTTACCTGCCTCAGTGCTGGGGCTCTGGGTGGGTTGGGTACTGGTCTTTACTGGGTAAAGAGAAGACAATCAATTTCTTGTAATATGCAATTTTTTTAAATTAGCTTTGAATCCTTTGCAATGTAATTTTTTTCACACTTGCAAATAAAATAACTAAATAAAAAATAAGTTATTTTTAGTTATTTTATTTGCAAGTGTGAAAGTACCCATCTTTTCCTGCTGTATGTGAAAATATACTACTAAACATCTGACAGACTTCTCTGGCAAAAACTGAAGTACCTTGACATCTAGGCTATGGGGTGGGATAATGAACACAACACTACAGAGTTGTTTAAACCTTGCTGAGGGTTCAGCCAGATGAACTCTGGTCAGTCCAACCCCTCCATCCACTGGTAGCATTTTAGCTAGGAGGCATCAAAGGCACATTAATGCTGCTTAGTGCAGCCACCAAAAGATCTTCTGCTGCACTCGAGAAGAATTTGGTCAATTCAGTGAACTTTTATATTTATCTAATTATTTGCAGGTACTTCATTATCAAATAGACCATGACACAAGGATTAACTGAGTACACAGTTAACTGGTAGTGAAGAGCTTCACCAATGTAAGAGGAAAATCAACCAAATTGAAAAAGGCAAACTATAATTAATTGCAGAGTAGGTCCTATACAGTACTTCAAACTTCTGATCTTAACTGGCTACTTGACACATCCTCAAGTAGCACCAGGGGATGTTCAGGTTGGACATCAGAAGGAACTTGTTCACTGAAAAAGTGGTTAGGCATCGGAGTGGGCTGCCTAGGGAAGTGATGGAGTCACCATGCCTGGAACTGCTCAAAAAACGACTGCACATGGCACTCAGTGCTATGGTTTAGTTTTCAGGATGCTGTTTGGTCAAAGGTTGGACTTTATGATCATGGAGCTCTTTTCTAACATTTGTGATTCTGTGATTCTTTTCCCCTCTCTTTGCTGTAAAAGGAGAGCAGAGAGGCAAAGGGACACCAGGTGAAGCTCAAATTTTCTTACTGGATTACTATTCAGAAACTATGTGAACTGTTAGGTACTGTCTAAAAACTGGTCAAGCTTGTTA